GTTACAAGTCCGACTCTCTAACCATTAGGCCACGACTTCCCCATTGTGCATTGACACGATGCAAAACAGAATGCCTAATGAGACAATTGTTGATAATATATGTAGATATTGTTGGAGAATTAAGGAGGCCTTAGAACTATGGAACAATATAATCCTCAACAGACAATGTGATTTAATATCACAGTCTCCAGGGACAGGAGCCGTCGATCAAAGCTGTGGGAAAAACAAGTGCAATCATTTGTCAAATTAACCATGCAAAACACAGCCTGATGTATTGTTGTATAGGTAAGTTGAAACTGTAATAATGCATGCAATTTACATTGCTGAATGCACTACGTGGTTGGCATTGAAACTGAGAAAGTATGAGCCACTCTATTGAATCCCAAGATGAAATTCAATGCCGGCAGTCTTCAGTTTTTAAAAACATGGCACAATATATACACACATTACAAGACAGAACATGAAGTACACATATAAGAAAATGGAGAAAAATGGGTTTACTGTCATGCTGTTAGTAAAATGTCTACTTAGGGTTTCAAGGCCTATCATGTCACTACCCATTTTTCTACAGTCTTCAGGAGTTTTGTAATAGATGGAATTGAAATGTTCCACATATGCCTGTATAATAATGTGTGTGTATTTATGTAGCTGCAAAAGCAAAATAAAAAAAAATAGACATATATATTGATACAAAAAAGCATAACAGAAAAAGTAAGTTCTATACTGTGCAATTAAAATGCAAAACAAATCATCATTAGTATTGCCGAATTGTCATCACAATTAAAGCATTTGTGGATATGCTGGCAATTTATATATTATTATAGTAAGCACGAATGTGTACTTGAAGTTCGGGGTCTGCAGTTATTCTATGTATTTACCACTGACCCTTTAAATGTAATAACATTCATTTCTATGGCTTTTAAAAAAAAAAAAATTTCATAGATGTGTATTGGCTATGAAGTTTCAGGGTGAGAATCAGTGTTTCTGTTGTTTGTCATTATGCTGCTTACTGTCTACAGCCACTGAAAAAGTAAATCTGTACAGATGGAGGTAAAAGCAAGTGTTTTTGCATTCAATCAGTGCCATTCAAGTTAAAGACTAACAAATTACCAGAAATAAAATGAGGTCTAAATTACATACATTTCCATTGATTAATCAATGTGTAATTGCCACAAACCACATTCATCTAGAGTGCATGCACCGGTTTTTTAACCTGGTTGACCGGGGCTGGGGGGGGGGGGATTTTTAATAATAAATTCATTCACTTTCAGAAATAAAGGTACAAAAGCTGTCACTGGGGTGGTGCCTTTTTAAAAGGTACTAATATGCATGCTTTAGGAGTAAATAAGTTACAAAGGTGTACCTTTTTAAAGGGGTACTGTGTCAGTGACAGCAATTAATGAAACTACAAAAATGTCAAATGTAACTTAAATTCCAAACCATATGGAACCATAACTCATCTTAACAAAATGTGGCAACTTAACTTATCCAACTAATATAGCAGAAATATAGAAATTTTTGCTTGGAGGATAAAATTATGATAATAAAAATCGTCTTGGTTACGTAAGTAACCCTCGTTCCCTGAAGGAGGAAACAGAGACGTCACATCGATACAGATGAATTGGGGATCTCGCCAGAGAGACAAATCTATTTTGAGTGTAAACTAAACGAGCCAATGCACATTGGCATGCGATAATTGCATCCAGGACATGGAATCATCGAGTGAGGGCCTGGCGCCAGACGCTCCACCAAGTCTGGCTGCCGAGGGTGATGGAGGAGCTTGACAGGGTCTACAGTTTGGGCACTCTGGAGCAGTTTAGCAAGCCGACACTAAGCCAGGGCCTCTAGGTGCTTCTACCTGTTTGAGGTGAGAACACAGGAGGATACCGACTCCACACGAAGGCTATAGAATCTAGTGAATGTGTTGGGGATCGCCAGTGTTCCCTCGGTCAGGGAGTAAAACAGCTGGCAGTGAGAGGTTTCTGGAGAGGTGACATCTCCAAATGGGAAGGGAGTCTCCACTCTCCGGAGAGTGCAGCTCGTGACAGCTCATCGACTGCACGGTTGAGCAGACCCGGAATATGAATGGCACGAAGTGAATGGAAGACCACCTTGTCAGTTGATGTACGCAACAGTCGCAATGTACATGCTTGCCTCGTAAGCACCCTTTGAGACAGTTCAAGGCAAGGTGCACTGCTAACAACTCTAGGCAATTGATATGCCACTGCAGTTGGGGGCCCAACCAACACCCCCGAGACTGCTTGTCCATTGTACGTGTCCCCCCAGCTGGTGGTGGAGGCATCCATGTGTACCACAGCATGCCTGGAGACCTGTTCTAGGGGCACTCTAGAAATGTGGAAACTGCCCAAAGAAACGGTGCAACACTTACCTGGTTCCACGGTTGGGCAGAGGGTGCGTGAGTAGGGCCTTTGATAGCGCTCTCGAGCCGGTGCTGGCAACAGAGGAGGATGAGTGTGATCCGGATTTGGCCCGTTCACAGCTCTCCATGCCCTCTTGGGATCCAGAGATAGAGGAAACCGCTCTTGTGTTGAGATTTTGGCAAAAAGAAGAACGAAACAAATGAATCTCCACCCGGCCCTCCTCCGGGGGAGAGAGTGGTGCAATCACCATCTCCCGAAGAGTAGCCTCCTCCATCTCTGGGTCGCCTGTCTCAGCTCTTACCTTTCCGTTTGCTTGGACAGGCTGGGCAGCCTGCTGCAACCAGTTCCACGACACTTCCTGGAGGCTGGTGCTGCTGTGGCGTGGGAGCGGGGCAGATGCAGTGGACTGCCCTCGGTGACGAGCTGACTGAGGCACCACAGCCAGCGGTCGGGCTGCCTCCATCTGCTTCTGAGCAGCCGAGAACTGCTGGGCAAAGCTCTTGACTGCGTCGCCGAAGAGGCCGGTCTGGGACACGGGGGAATTTAGAAACCCAGTCTTGTCGGTATCCCTCATGTCCGCCCGACACAGCCAGAGATGGCGCTCCTGGACCACAAGTGTGGACATCGCATGACCCATCAAACGTACAGTGCTCGTAGCGCAAGGTTAGCTGCAGTCCGTAATTCTTTCAGAACCTCAGGATCGTGACCACCCTCGTGCAGGTCCTTCAGTGCATTGGCCTGATGAACCTGCAAGAACGCTGCAGCGTGTAAGGCTGAGGCCGCCATTCCACGAGCCACAGAAGCACTGACAGTCAGACTAGATGAATGCCTACAGGCCCAGGAAGGGAGAAACATTTTGCCGCTCCAGGTTGAAGCAGTGCTTGGACACAGTAGCATCACAACCGACCGGGCCGGGATCTCCGTGTACCCCCTGACTGCCCCACCATTGAGAGTGGTGAGTTGGGAAAAGCTACCAGAACAGTTTCAGGTAGTAAAAGGTGCCGTCCATGAACTGGTGAGCTCTTCATGCACTTCCGGGAAGTAAGGCACCGGGGTGGGGCACTAAGATCCAGAGCGAGCCACCAAGAGAAACCAATCGTCCAGCCTCGAAGGTTCAGGACACGGTGGAGGTCTCCACTCGAGCCCGACCCCCTCGGTGGCCCGGGCAAGCATAGTCGTCATCTCTGGGTCTGATTCAGGCATTGCCACCATCCCAGAAGGCGGCAGCACAGCCGAATCTTCTTTCCCAGAAAGCTCAGATGCAGCGATCAACATCCGGTCATCGGGGGGAGCACCGAAGGATACAGCTGGTACGCTCAACAGTGACGAGGTAATTGAGTCCGGTCCGCAACTCCGAGTTGGTCATGTCCCCGCAATGAGAACATGACTCATCCACAAAGGCCACCACAGAGTGCTTAACGTCCAGACACATGAGGCAGCGATCATGACCATTGCCCAGCACCAGGTAACGACCGCATCTAGAAACACACGGGTGATACGTCGTCTATAGCAAGACGCAACACCGTCTTTACAAAGACACAATGTTGAGTTTGCCAGATGCAACGTTGTCTTTAAAAAGATGCACCCGGGAATGCTCTTTTAGAAAGTGCTCTTTTAGTTGTGCTGAGGCAAACAGGGGAGATGACCACCGCAAAACTACAGGGGTAGTGCAGCCTGTAGTGTGCACCCACTCAAATAAGGATCCGACGTGCTCTTTTAGTTGTGCTGAGGCAAACAGGGGAGATGACCACCGCAAAACTACAGGGGTAGTGCAGCCTGTAGTGTGCACCCACTCAAAGAAGGATCCGACCACCCGCAGCAGCGCTGTAACACCCGCACACAGAGGCTTCCTTGCAGAGCATCGCTCGTTCAACGAACACCGAAGCTTCTTGGAAGAGCAGAACGATCACAAATGCTCGGCTTCTAAGCAAAAAGCTCAGCATGCGTTGCATCTGCTGCCTATTTATACTCGTGCTGCGATGAGCGGCAGCTGGATGCAATTATCGCATGCCAATGTGCATTGGCTCATTTAGTTTACACTCCAAGCAGATTGGTCTCTCTGGCGAGATCCCCAATTTGTCGGCATTGACGTGACGTCGAAAGTGAGCGACTGAAAGGGAACTACATTTACTGTATGAATGTTTACTGTATGAATGTTTTTAACTAGTGGATTAAAGAAAACTGTTTAATAGGCTTTTGACTCAGAACATTAAGTTATAACCTATTAAGATATAACCCTTGTGACAACTAGCCGTTTTCCTTCAGAAACTCTTATCCAACAGCCTGCAAAATGTACATTGTATTTCATATGCGAGGCTGTTCATGCTATGTACATTCTATGAAATGTGTTATATATAACTTACAGTTGGATTCCTGTAGTATTCTAGTTGATTCTTGTCTTGTATTCACTTCTGATGAAGTCAGAATTTAAAAGTTTAAGTATTTAGTCTCTGGTATTGCTTGGACTGTGTAAA